TCAGCTTTGCATATAATGGATCAGTCTCTTTCTATGTTTTTATAAATAAACACATATGATTATACAACATAATTTACCTATTGTAATTTTCTTACCAGAGGGAACGTATAGAAATTTAAATTTGTTCTTTTTTTTCTAAAATGCAATGGAAGCTTTTAGAGTTTATATGCCAGTTTGACGCCTTTCGTAAATTTAAAGCTACTGGATACATCTCTTAATTCTAAAGCATAGGAATACAGTAGAGGGTTAAAGAAATATTATATGGTCTCGGTAAGTATGGAACACCCTGTGTATATGGATCATGGTTTTAGTAAAGACTGAGCCATTGGTCTTGGTACCAATGGCTCAATTCTTGAGTTCAATCTTGAGTGAGCCATCGGTTTTAACAATGATCTTGGTAAAGATTGGCACCTTGTATGATACCAAGGACCATGATCTTGGTAAGGATCGTCCTTGGTCTTGCAGGGATGGAGCACCTTGTATAATTACAAACTAATTTTCAAGTCTGTACAATTTCTAAGGAAACAGAACAACATTATTCCCTAGCTATGTCTTAAGTATTAAAATAATTCTTCTGAATTCATACATAAAAATCATTCAGAAGCCGTATTTTCTCTGAGACAGCTTCCGTGAATTTCTAGCTGTAACAATGAAGTTTGACTGTTATTTTCCAAAACAGCCCTCTGCCTTATCATGCGATGCATACTTATGCCACTTTTCTTATGCGCATTTACAGTAAAATTTTATATATGGGAGGAAAGGCGTGCCAGACAAAGCGAGAGAAAACACTTCAAGCGTGCACGTCACGCGAATCCCCCGTCTGTCACGTCCAGTAACAGAATACATGAAAATTCCTGCTGGATTCTTTTGTGTGGTTAAAATCTTCTTCTCTATTTTACCTTATTCTTTCTATCTTATCGTATGTGCTCTTATGGTTTTCAAAGTAAAGAACTTCAGTGCATAAATTTTCATCTTTGATGATTAAAACCTCAAATAATATGAAATCAATAAAATTAATAAGAGTTTAATTAAATATAAATATGAGTTAGAGAAAATGAAAATTCAGATATTGGATGTGTATTAGAAATTTATTTAAATTATCCAAAATAACTATAAGATAAACATTAAAATATTCGTTTACCGGCCGAAAGTAGAATTCCAGATGACTCTATACAAGTTAAATTACTAACAACTTTAAACTGTGATAAAGAAATCTACGTTTTTCATAATTTATTATGTATTATGTTTCATGCATTATTTCATACTTTATTATCAGCACTTTATTATGTTCGTACGTAGCGATGTTTTGCAGAAACATCGCTCAACTGGATTTAAGAGCGTCAAAATAGGTATTTTCGCTGAAATTTGATACCCCAAAATTTTCGCGATTACAATACTTTTTTACTCCTCACAAGGAAGTAAAAATCTGAAAGGGTCCAAAATTTAACGATCGCCCAAAAGGGCTGTTTGAAAGTTTAATATGGCTTAACAGTAGGCATTATCGATAATGAAATACCCCACGTGAAATAGCGAAACATTTTATAGAGCATTAGATAAATATACATTTAGGATAACTTGGAAATGTTATATACCTTCTATATATTTGAAAAGTGAAAATATATATGTAACGTGATTCTATAAATATATGTAATTTTTTTATTTAAATAGATCATGAATTAAATGTATCTTTCAAATCAATCGGATTAAAAAGTGAAACAAAATATTCTCGATAACTGCATCCATTACATTTAAATAGCTTAGCTTGTTAGAAAAACAGACATATTAAACATGAAAAAATAATTTCTTACTTTTTCTGAATGGCAACAGCTTCAAATGAAAAGTGAAACAACACAAAATCATTTTTCGAGACTATAATAGGCATTTTAAGCTAGTAATTCTTTAGAAATACTCCTGATTTATTTTAATATGTCCATTAAATTCATTTTAAAATTTATAGACATACCATAATGAGGTAGTTATATTATTAATTTATTTGTTCAACCGTAGTTAATATTCAATTAAATAGAATACATTTAACGCATATCTGCGTTGAAGTATAATAACGTGAAAGCGTCATCAATTTAAAAAAGGATAAGTTAGTAAGTTTTCAAATTAACACACTCAAAAATATTTATTGTAAATAAAAATTAAATACTGAAGTTCTTTTTTTCAAAAATTATGAGGAGACTTCTTTAGCAGAAATACATTTTTTAAACATAAATGCTGTATTTTTCCAGCAAATAATTAAAACATTTTAAGAGTTTTGATTGGAAAATTTCAAATAATCTAATTTAAAGCTACATAAATAAATGATTAAACTTGTTTAAGATCTGCTGATAATAAACCGCTTCTCACGCCTCTATTATCACAAGGAGAACGTATCTTTCAAGAGATATAATGGTTTCTGCAACTGATTTGCAAATGTCTCCTCATTTAACTGCCGAAGCATTAAAGGTTTAGGTCACTTTAAGGCTATTCTAAATCTCGCAAATAGTTCAAATCAAGTAGGGTGGTGTTTGGGAATTATAATAATTACTATATGTTCGCTAAAGATTACAATGGAGTGCTATTGCTTACGAATGCTACAGTTAGTAGAAAATTATGAACGATTCCGTGTACTGAATGAGATAATTTAATACTTTAATTGCAAGATATAGCTGAATTAAGATGCCTGTTAAAGAATGCAAATATGTATGTAATTAGATACAAAAATGTATTTTAAAATTCAAATGCTAATTTATAAATGTTACTACCGACATTTTGAATGTTCTGAGGTGATGTAAGTAAGCCGTCATCATATTTCCCACATGCCAAAACTGGAGAAATAGCAACGTACAAGAAGTACTGCTAAACTTACGACAAATGTATCGTAATTTTATTAATATTAATTTATAGAAATGGATTTATAGTCACATATTCACTCACAGTGACGCCCAAAATAAAATGTAGAAGGCAATAGTTTATCGCCATCTTGATTAATTCACTGGCTAACATTTCTTAACCTGATGCTGACAAGAAGAAGGGTGTAAGAATTATGAAATTAAATTATGATGAAATTAAAGACATTCATTCCTTGAATCTGTGTGCTACAGTAGTAAACACGCCCAACTCGCAATGGGTTTGTTTTGGTTTGCTTAATCACGGCAACGCATTCTAGGGCTTTCAACTTAAGGGAAGGGATTCCTTCGTAGAGGACTTTCTAAGGAACTGGCTCATATACACATTACACATGGGGAAAATCACCAAACCTTCCATGCAGACAGCACGTTAGCCGGGATTCGAAACCCGCCCCAAAATATCAGTGTTCAGCAAAATTACCGCGTGGCTACTGGTGGGCCAACAAGCAATGAGAAGTCAATGGGCCAACAAGCAATGAGAAGACAATGGGCCAATAAGCAATGAGAGATTAATTTCCGATAAGGCCAAAGCTGATTTTCGTAGGTTTTCTTAGGTTGTTTTTCAATAAATTCTAATTATCTCTATAATAAAGTGCAATATTTCACAGGAATACTAAGAATGTTAACAGAGCACTGGATAAAGTTTTGCTGACTTTTAACTTTTCCCATTCATAATTATAAACCTATGTGCAAACGTACTTTGCTTGTCAGGTAGAGAAGGGTTTTGTGAAGGAAATGATAAATTCTTATTGAAATTTCACTTACCTTTAATGTGAAAATTTTGTATTTAAAATTCTGATATTTAGTAACTCGAATTAGAAGCAGATATTTGAATCTCATCTTTTAAATCACCATGGATTAGCTTGAATTTAATTACTTACAGAAGTAAATTCTCTGGGTAGTAATTTGCGACTTATGTATTTAAATAACAACAGAGGTTTCTTTTTTATTAAAGAATATGTGCCTACCTTTCGACAGCACGATTATTTCGAAAGAAAGAGTTGACAGAACAGTTAAAAATTTAAATATTGCGAAAGTGAAACAATCTTTACAAATTTAATGATACAGTACTTCCCGATTAAGACAGTTCGCTGTAAACTGCTTCGTCTGTAAGAAAGATGCGTTAGCCTACTTTTATACGTTTTTATTTAAATCCGTATCTTTATCTCAATAAAATCGTGAACTAGTCTTCTTAGCCATTTTTTTAAAAATTTTAGTGCACATGCATAATTTCAATGATAATACGTCATGAAACGTCCATTTCCTAATTTCTCCTGTTTCTCCTGTTTTACAAAACAAAACATAGTACGGCAGTTACCTATAAAAAGACCCTAGAGTGGAAATCATACTGAGATGACTCACTTCTCAGAAATACAAAATTTTATCATGCCATAAAACCTCAGCAATATGGATATGTATGACAAAGGTAACTTTTGATGCGGTTTCATGTTTAACATCAAAATATATGAAACCTGCCTAGAAATGAGTGGCATAGATGCAATTTAAACTTGCGAGTGAAAAAACGGGATTTTATTTAAACTAATTCTAGTTTTATACGAAAAAAATCTCGATAAATTTATCATGAATAAAGGTTTTTAGTTTTCACAATAACGTATATATATTTAATTAAAATTAAAAATGTTGGCATAAGTAAAATATAAATAAAATCTTAAAGAGAAACAGAAAGTACAAGAAGCTTACAAGTAAAGTATTATAATTAAGAATAATGAGACATAAAAAAGAACGATTAAGGCGATATTAAAATGTTAACGATCGGTTTCTTTCAGCTTTCCATTTGACAGCCTCGATTTAAAACTTTGTTATTATTATAATTTAGAAAATACTAGTCGAACACATTTAAACGAAGACTATAAAGCAGTTTACTATTCCTTATCAACTATAATTTATTCGAAACTTTTTGCTTTTATCTTTTTTGTGACTGGCATGTATGAAATCTCAAAATGGTCATAGGAATAACTATCTATTAGATTATATAACGAAAGCTAAAGCTTTCATCATCACTTGAAAAAATTATCAAGCGTAGAAAAATATTAAAGCTAATTTAGTCTTCAGTACATTAGCTTTTCAGTGGAAACGTCTTACCTCTTTTCATAAGTGTAACTTGTAGTGCATCATGGCCCATTTCATTAGTGCCGATGCAAGTGTAACGTCCAAAATCCTCCTCTTCTACATTGTTGATGAACAATACGCTCTCCCACGTCACCGTGTCAATTTGAGATGTCCTACTTGAGTATTTAATAATTGTTGGCGATTCAGTGATATTGGTTCCTGTTTCATCGGACCACGAAAATCTGACAACTGGAGCTCCTGTTGCCAAACATCGAAGACGAACTGTCTCGCCACGGTCTGCAGCTACTTTCCTGTATCTGCGAGGGAGGTACGTTTCTGGTTTGACTACAAAAGAAATAAAAAATAAAGTGTCATTAATAAATATCTCAAATGAAGATGTTAAATTATAAAAATTAACACCAAGTGTAAAGGCAGTGTCCAAAATTAAATTTACAAACATTTTTTGCAATAATTCACAACTTGTTGCTATAAACCATTCGGGGAAAGGTAAATATGATGCTAAATATCTATTTCTTGAAAAGCTAAAAGGATACTTTCTTAAGAAATGTGAAAGTGACCGGTTTGCGAATATGTAAAATTCGTATATAATTGCGTTTATTGCATGAAAAATGGAAAGACTGACTAAATGTGAAATAAAATTATATCTCGAAATAGTTCAAAAATAAATTGAGATGGAGGATCATAGATTTTGATGCTAGCCACTCTCATATAAAAGTCACTTGATGATTACGATTGTTTCAATTGTTGGTATTCAGGCTATGACAGCAATTCCAAATTATGGCTACTATCACCAAAAGGCTCAGTCAATGCCATTCAAGAACCACGACATCCTCAGATATTCGACTAGCGGCATAATTTTCAAGCCATAGGCATTAAACACATGACCTTATATAAATGACATTAAATACATGGCGCCATAAAGAGATGATGGCTACAGAGCTTCCGCAAAGCATCGTTGCTGTATTTGGAACAACAGTTTTAGGCAAAATATATGTATACGCATAAATCTTACGCTCGTCGACCAGCAGTACGTGTTCCCCTCAACACTAACAGAATGAAACATATCTTTTGTGGAGAATATGTAGTCTGCAATGATGAGTCAGGATTCAGATACCTGGTGATTCTCGACGAGGAGCAAACCGGGAAACGATACCATCCTTTCAGGCATGAAGAAAATCGATCGTTTTGGTGGATGTAAAACCCTTGTATGAAAGCACATCATATTGAATGGCTGAACATCAGTTATTGTCTTTTTTATGTCGTTTATTATGACCACACAACATAATAGGGATGAAATTCTTGAGCCTTATGAGAGAACCTCTCCGGGAAGTTTTTTGCAAGGGCTTTTGGTTTCATGGACGGTAATGTGAAGTCATGCAGAACTCAATTTTCGATCATTGTTTTACAGAAAAAAGTTATTTGCCGTAAAGAATGACCACTGAAGTGATCGAACCCAAATCCTATATCAGATGTTGTTTGAGATACTCCAGTAAGAATTATTCACGACATCAATATCCTGTTAGGTCCCTCCCAATATTAAAATCCTCGGTTTTAGAAAAATAGAATTAGTTGCCACAACTTATGATTAACAAATATTATTCATTATATGAAAATCGCTTTTGAGGCAATTAAATTTCGCAGGATGACCACATTCCTTATTAACCCGATCGTTCTGGATATGTGAAGTGTCATGTTTATATGGCATATGCTGCAAAATTTCATTACAATAAGCCAATTAGTTGTCCTGATATCACATGATTTGCATTTGTAATCTTAATTTTCAATACAAATGTGCGGTAGATATTTACATGATGTAAATATATATTTCTCAGATTAATATTGTTTTCTAATGTCATCTTACAATTGCAAAAATGACTTATAGGTTAGATAATGCATAATTTTATGAATTATTTTGAAGAAATAATTAAATTACCATTGTAAAATATGTAACAGATATTTATGTAATGTACCTTCCATATGTATATTAATTTGCAGTTCTCTTAATGTGCATTCATGAATTGCAAGAGTTATTTCTGTTTTATGCTTATGAGTTAAGAAGATGGCTGTAAAATGCTCCTGATTTAAACAAGCAATACTACTTTATTTATTTATTTATGACATACGAGTTCTATGCAGGTTTCGTATTAGATTAGGTGTGTTTTCCAATGGAATTTAATTTAAGACTAGGTTATCTTCTTTGTCTATAACCATATTTGGAAGCAAGAATACTGTTGAGGCTATAAAAGAAATGAATTTATGTTTGGAAAACTAGAATTAAGCACCAAAAACTTGGCTGCTAAAATTCCTTCTGAGATTTGGTGAATAACACTGAATGGCGTGCCTATGTTTGTAAATTTTAATACCTCTTTTAAAAAACAGAATTTTATTAAAACTGTACCAAAAGATAGATGTATATTAGCGATTTCATCTTTAACTTGAAAGACAAAAATTATTCTCTGCTTATTTTATAATACTGATATTATCAGTTTCAGATAGAAACTTAAAACATTTAAGTTTATTTATAGAATACACGTAAGAGTACAATAGACATGGCTCGTAATGTACTCTTAAAGGCATATTGAATGCAAGCAAAGCAATTGTTATTTAAGCTATAATTATTTGCATAATCTGAGCATTAGAAACAGAACATGTGCTTCATATCTTGCATCTTTCTGCGACTATCTGACTCCTCATATCATCAATAAAATACTATAATTAGCTTTTTTATCGCAAAAGTAGCATTTTTAACATTGGCTATCCAATGTTAAATTGCGAAGTTTCCTGTAATATCGAGTTTTAAAATTAAATGCTGCATAAAAGCAATATTTTTATAGGATAAAAACCTTTAACCAGATAACTAAATTTCTCTTAATCGTATTACTTTACTCTTAATCGTATTACACTTTTTACAGTTTTTAAATTAAATACATATTTCAGAAAATTTCTAGCAAGTTATCGCATATGGCAGCATATTGAGAACGGATAACACTGTTAGAATTAAGTTAGTGAACAGCCTAAAACAAACTCTTACATTTTCAGAAACGTTTCTAGGAAATTAATAAATTAAAGATAATCTTACAGGATTTAAGAAAATTACTTTTATTATGCAATATAGTGTGACAACCTACTATTAAATATACAACATTTGTTTCGTCTGTTAGCACATTAAACAACTATTAAGTCTGCGATTAAACAATATTAACTTATAATGGGGAAGAATATGATGTCCATGATTAATATAAGCCTTGCAACAATTTAGCCGTCAGTATTTAACGTTCGGTTGAAGAGGAGATAACTGTTAACTGAGTCTAGAGTGTCATTTCTGGTGAAGGCAGTTTGAGACAATTCCCAGTCAATGTTTGTCAAGGCACGTTCTCCATTCTCTAACTACCATTGAGTAGTTGCAGTATCTCATTTAGAGCACATGCCAAGTGACGGGATGTTATTCGAGTAGCTACAGTCAGAGTATTTAACACGAGATCCTACCGCTCTAGAGTTGCGAAAGCAGTAATTATAATAGCAGTTTGACATTCGGGAGACCGTGATGAGACTCATGAAGTTCTCTGGTATCAGAACAGTAAACCACTCAAATAAAAGCTTATCTTAAACTGAAATTGTGAATTAATTTGATATTATTCTTCTTATACCACGATATGAGCAACTTAAGCAGTAACATATATTTAAATTAAGGAAACTATTGCAATGAAAGTAAGTACGAAGACTTGAATTATTTAAAAAAATAGGCAAAATAATAAAATTATAATTCTTGACTGCTAGAATGGTATTACGAGCTCAGATTTTAACCACTTAAATAAGTTACGTTTTTTTCCTGTGAATCATATTAGCATTAGTTATTATTTTTTATTAATTAATTAGTGGATCATTTCGAACAAGTTTGATATTTTTATAATTTCGTAAAGTCATCCTATATTTAAAAAAAATTCTAAAATTTCATAACTTTTTTTGAGAGGCATATTTATTAAGACTGTTAGCAAACTTCTCTCCACTTACTTCTAGTACAATCTAAAAGTTTACTTTGGTTGGCATTTTATTGTATGATTTATTGCTTATTTGTTAAATATGTAACTTACTGTACATTTGCATGAAATCTTATTTATGTGTTTATTTGTTTTGCATAACTTATTTTACACCTATTACCATCTACATAGAGAAAAATTATCACTGATTATATAAAAAAATAGTAAGTGTTTTCTTGGCATGTACCCATTCTGAAACCTCCACATCTAGATCTTGCATACGTTTTTATCAAAGAGTTAGTCTTATTACAAATTTGTAAACGTAACCTCTAGATTAATGCTTAATATATAGAATAATACTTGATATATAGCAATTACTTATTTTAGGTTCTATGTTTAATACTTTGAGGTTTGAAGATTTCCAAGTGAAAATTTTTAAAGAAGTCAAAAGTTCCCGAAAGCGTCCTTTTTTTTTACAATAAATAAGGAACTAGAACGTTTAACAAATAATTTATTTTTAGAAATAATAATTAAATTTTTTTGTGCGTTTAAGGAAACAAATTATTTTAAAATTTCATTTCTATAAAATGGTAATTTAATAAATGAGATTATAGGGTAGTTTCTGCTATTTCCGCATGCCTTTGTGGTATAATTGGAAGCATACTCAACGCGTATTCGAGGGTCTAGGGTTCAAGTCCCGGCGTAGACACTGCACATTTCTCAGGTCTGTACTCAATAAAACCCTAAAACTCAACAGTGACGCCCGAACTAAAAAGGTGGTGGACAATAATTCGTCACGGATTTAGCGATTGTGTCCTCTAATCTCTTGTCGCTGTTTAAAAGGGAGAGTATCTAAGGCATTTTCTCCCTCTTTCGAGCATCCTTTTGTAGTGTAATGGTAGCACACTCGGTGCGTATTCGATAGGTCCAGGTTCGAGTCTCGAAGAGTGCACTGCTCATTTATTATATCTCCTGCTTCAAAATAGCCTAATGACTACCAGTTATTACTTAAAATCTAAAAAGCTACTCATTTAAATACATTTTCATAAATGTTACCATAATAAGCACTTGTAAGGTTATGATTCCACGATGTTTCCTTTAGAGAAATGAAGTAAGATCGCAAAAAAACTGTTTTCTTATCATATGTTTTTATTCTCTTTTAATTTCGGTAAAAAAGATGCAAAATAATTTTTGAAAGAAATTTTTATTTTCAGCACGAATATTATTACTTAGCTTAAATAATGATCCGTTCAAAACTAATATAATAGAAGACATACCCAGGATGTTTACAGTAATCTCTTATTTGCGGATATTTCGGTAATTCTTTAAAATCTTTTCATCGATTTAATGTTAGACTAAAGATTTTTTTCTTTTCCTTGTATCTTACATTTAATCCCTTATTTAGCAATATTAAATAAACTAAGTTTTAAAGTAAAAGTAAAATTACATAATTCCAGAGGAGTTCAATTTTCAGGAAGCAGAGATCAATTATCCACACTGCAGCATTTCGATCGCTTGTTCTTTTTTGTGTTATGCCAAACTTGCTATAAACTTATTTACGTGTTTATGACTTTTTCATTTATTTCAGTAATATAACTAATTGTTAAATGAAAAAAATTAATAACGTGTAGGACATTATTAAGTATATATTACAATTTTACAACAATAAAAATAACATCTGGGTTATAGTTAAACCTAAATAGTTTATTCGTTTTGCTTCGATCGAATAAAAATTAATTTTATTGCGAAACATTAGTGTAGTGACGATAAAAAAAAATATATGCGTTTAACAGTAAGGCCCACACCATGTAAGAACTACTTCGTTGTTTTATTATAATTGAAATAGAAACTGGTTATACAATTATGTGACGAAAAAAATCATAAATTAAATTTGCCACCAAAGTGTTCTCCATGCTTTATTTCAATGCAATAAGTAATCATTTTAACTGTGCATTTTTGGTGAATTCTTTTGAATCGCATTATTATTCGAATCGAAACTTATTTTTGGTGTATGGGTAATACACAACCCAATTATCCGGAGTTTAAAAAAATACAAAAGAGCTGTGTTCCTTTTGAATCCAGATATTTGGAATTCAATTGTACACTTCATCATTTTGAATATACTTTTTGAACCAATGAATCATATAATTTATGGTATTTTACCATTCTTCTTGGACTCCTTTTATGACTTGAATATTTTTATTGCTGTATTTTCTTTTACAAGCATGAAATTAAAATTTCTTTAATCTGCCTCTTTACTTTTACCAAAATAACAGTTACATTCTCAGCCATAAAATCTCTACTTTTATTAAATCATTTTTAAATAAATGTTATTGGGCAAGTTGATATTCTGTGATATATTATTGTTAACTTATAATGCAAGAAATATAGAAAGCTAGTAAAATAACTGCAGAGAAGTGACACGTATTAAGTAAGCTATTTAGAAGCAATGCCTCACTACTTTGAAAATTTCATTTGCAAAATTACAACTAAACATTTCCGTTACTCCGAAAAGGAAACTTTTAAATGCATGAAATTAATTAAGTAATGATATAATGATATCAGCGAGAAGGAGTTAAACATTTCACATGTATATTTTTAGTTAGATGGTTGATTTGCGATTATTTGATAGCTAACTGTACAATACTTAACTGTACAATACAAATTTCCAGTTTTTACTGAGGAACAAAATATTTAAAAATTCTGCTAAGCCGAACATTAAACATGAAGCGAAATAGCCAGTTTGTTCGTTCTGAGTAGAAAAGATATCTTATCGTATAATTACATAAGGTTTTTATAACTAATTAATAATAATAGAATGGGCTTATATGACTTTTATTGACTTACTATAAATAGTAACTTATAAAATTCGAAAGTGGTTTGGAGAATAACTGTTTTATTAATAATTTGCGGTACTTGTGTATTAAAGCAGAAAAGATGACCAGATGGCCAAATAAACTCGCTAATGCTGGTTCTGCGAAAAATTAGAATTCGGCAACTCAGTAATCGTATCGAAATAAGACAAAGATTTTTTGGTACTTACGTATTAACGCAACTACCTTGGCGTAATTTGGCTATTTTTTACAGATGAAAATATGGAAATTACCTATCTGGTGCAACATGGAGGCTTTTGTAACTTTTGTTTTAAGAAAGATTCCCAAACTATCGATGTTTACCGTAAGTCGGTAAACATTATCAACATAGGAAAAGAAAACGTACTTTAGTAATTTAAAAAAAAAAACAAATTTGAGTTACTAAATAAGGATAACGTGATACATTAAAAACAAAATACTTACATTCTTCTTCAATTTCTGTAAATTTTTTGAGTTATTACTCTCTCAAAGTACTCAGCGATATGTTTTCGTTTAAAAACACATGAGACGGGGCTTCGTGCAAAGCTCGGCGACAGCGGCTATCTAGAGAAAACGTTTTCTCGTTGTTTCTCTCAAAATTGTCTGCAAAATTCTGTATTTCTGCAAAAACTTTACCGCAGCTTTCTCTTTGCTGGCAAATTCCGCAAACTCATATTTTAAAACTAAGTTTGACAATATCACGATTTATTTATAAAATTCTTCGAACTTGGAATGCAACAAAAAAGAACGCACACGAAAATAGCAGCTTTTGCCGGAATAAAAGATTGTTATGAGCATGATTGCCGGAAGAACGCACGATTGCCAGAGCTTGGCACATTCTGAAAATTTGGCAACATCTACTAAGGTAGCTGCGTTAATACGTAATTACCAATTTTTTAAACAGACTATTTATTAGTAAATGTAAACAATCATAGCTTCATATTTCAAAATTTTTTTAAGTCAACACTTTAAGCACGAGAATTTTGAAATTACCTTCTTCATTACAAGCTTATTAGAAGCTTCTGTGATATTTTTCACATCAAAATATATTTTGGTTATTAACCATACTCAGCTGTTATAAACCATACCTACGAAAACGAAATCGTTTTCCAGCAGGCTTATACAGTAAGTACCATATATAATAATCTTTCTACCGGTGTTTAAAAAAAACCTGGAACAAAATTTAAGTTCAAATTCTGTATTTTTCTTTATAAACTTTAATAAAAATAATTCTTATTAAAGTATTTTATTACTAAGCATGATTCAGTAACACGCGTTGATATTATTTCATTAAAATATTCAATATTTGCTTCTCTAAACTACCCGCAATAATTTTTGAAAATATATTATTAATACAAGATATCTATCAGCGTTATTAAAAGCGCCAAATTAGGCGCCTTTTGACTATCGTTGCCTAAAATTGTGCACTCACAACTCACACTTGACAATTAGTTGAGACTTTGCGACTGCTTCTTGTCCAATGCCATTATACGCAACGCACTCGAAGACACCGGCGTCTTGCCTTGTAACATTCATAACAGTCAAGTATGCCCGACCCCATTCCAGTTTCTCTTCACTTTTGTGGCTCATGTCAAAACCCTTTCGCCTCCACTTGATGACGTCACTCCTCATCGGATTGCCAATTGCAGCGCATTCGAATGTTGCATCCTCTCCTTCACTCAGTGCCACACTTCTAGTTACAGTTGTAACTGCTGCTGGATCTGTGTGTGAAAAAAGAAGAAAAGTAAAGTTTGATATAATACATAGGGATAAGAACGCATGTTCCTTATCTGTTGTAAATAATCTAGATAGATTTCTTAAAATTTTAAGCATATTCAAAGGCTTCAAAGCATTTACTCGTATAAAATGCAAGATAATTAAAAAATATTTAAGGAAAAATAACATTTGAAATGTTAATTACAGGTAAATAATTCTAGTTTAATAAATGAATAAAATAATGTAGTCATTTAAACTGCAACAACATGGTTATGTAATAACTGCTTGGTAACTGCAAATGGGCTCCAGAAATCGAAAACAAAATCTGCCAATGAAAAAGCATTTTGCGTTTCCAGCTTGGGGAGAGGAAGGAGGACAAACAGAACAATTATGCTGCATCGAACATGGCGTTAGAAAAGTTGTGCAATATTCATAAAAATAGGATATTTGATATATTAAAGTTATTAAAAACTTACAGCGAGAACAATATCGACACAAGCATTAATTAGATGAACGAAGTACACAAATCAAATGAATAACAAATTCTGCTTGTGGTGCATTCTAAAGCAATAATGTATATATATATATATATATTATTATAATGTATTATATTATAATAATAATGTATAGAATAATGTATATATATATATATTCAGAAGTATATTATATTAAAAATATAAAACTGGTTCTTATATTAAAATCAGAAGTATCCCGATTACCTTAAACACTCAGAATTTCATATTATCAGTTTTTAATTTCATTTAATGTAATATTATATTATATTATAAACCATAAAACTGCGTATTTGAAACGAATTTAAAAATAATGCTTTCAAGAGAAATTAATATTTAAAACAATATTTAATGTTCTGTTGCATATAATTTACAATATATGCGTAATGCATCATTTTTCAGTGCTATTCCTAGGAAAATTAATTTCTGAAAAATATTTTAAAGCATCACAAAAGGAAATATATAGTTCCCAAATCTCGTAATTTTTTTGAGCACTTACACTTTTATTTGAAGAATAAACTAAAGACTTTCAGATTTCATACCATGCCGAAAGGCAATAATCTGAGAACTGGCCTTTTGTTAAGTCGTCTGAAAGTTAAATTAAAACTCATAGCGTTTGGAATGGCAATGCGTGCCAATCATGTGGGAAATAATTGAAGTGATAGAGCAAAGATTTGTAGAAGACTCAGCTATACATATACTCAGCTAATGTTAAAAAGAAGTCATCTTTATACAATCAGAGTTTCCTGAGATAACCATATTTGACATAATTCTAGGAATCTTTTGACAAATGCGGGGAAAGATAAATGCCTGTATTGATTTCTCGAGCACATATTTCTAAAATGCACTTACAGTAGAAAAATGTTTAATTTAGGAGCATCAGTATCAAATTACCATTTGCATATCTATATTAAGCCTCGAAATGATTTCTTTAGAGAAAATAAGTTCATTTACCAGTTCCAAATTTGATTCATTTTCATAGTAATTACACGGTTTAAGTTGTATAATTTTCAAATCTTTTAAAGGATTATATTTTCATATTATGGACCCGCTATAGTATTCTTCAATGAATAGGGTGGGAGTTAAAAAATACAGATATTATAGACTGGTCTGCATTTCTATATGATCTGTATTAGAGTGTGTATTTCTAAACGATTTGCTATAAGAGTTTGAACTTTCGTAACAGAAGTTGCGTAAAAAAAAATTAAATTTCATATGTTTTCATTAAAATTTGAAACGGGATAAGTATTATCATAATACGAAAGTCTACTTTATTTGATTCATTTAATAATTTGGAAACACTGTTTCCACAGTCAGTTATTCAGATGTTATTTAAGACTGCATTCGTTTTGAAATGCTCAAGGTATAAATTTCTCGTACACAAGATAATTTCAAAATAAGGATTTTAAAGCACATGTCTCGTGGTTTCTATTAACATGTTCTTCTTTAAGTAAAAGACGAATTTCACAGCTACCATAAAAGTATGTTCAGAAGAATCGGTTGATTCTGTATTAATTTTTAGTGCATATTGGAAAGCGACACATAATCGACCCCGTTTAATAAGACCATGAATTTACAGGTACGGTGAGTGAGTTAGCCGTAAAATCAGAAATGAATAAAAACAGATTAATTTGATGTTCATTTTCTTATTTTCTTCTTACTTGGTATAACGTAATATTTTGGTAGAATATGAACCAGCTCAGAGGAACAGGTGTTTAGAAGTTTTAGAACTTAAAAAGTTATAAAACTTCAACGTAAATAAAATAAGCGACAGTAAAAATTATAAAAAAGTCAATGTCATGTACACGAAGACTAAATAATTTACTTTCCTAATTTCTTCAAAGTATTTTTTGTTTTGAATTACGTATACTTCATAACCTGCCGTAAAATGTAACGATTTATTTAAAAAGCTCTTAATACAGGATGACAGCATATGATACAGCTCTTAATACAGGATACATTATTAATTCTTTCGTTAAATATGAAGGTTGATGAAAATCACCCTCAGCCGAACAAAAACACTGAGTAGGCTTATTATTCTCAACAAAGCTTCTAATAAGAATTAAGGATTCTACTTACAGTTATTATGATAATTAAGTGTTTACGCATTAAATAATTTTTCAAAGTTATTATTACTATTTCACTTAATGGGGATGAGCAAAGAACTTTGTATCCTAGGTACGGAAGTACCATGAAATGTACCTTTTAAGTAGCATTTAAATGTGACATTTCCATACTTTTCTCTTGTATGTTATATAACTTAATAAACAATTTATACACTTTTTAGTTATTCTATTCAGGCTTGAGTGTTTTGAAATTTCAAAAATTTTACTTGAACTAACTAGGACAGTCGACCAAAATGTCTGTATACAAATTGTTTAACACATAAATTTTAATTTTTGCGACAGAGAGAAAACATTGCTAGGCATTTGAAATCCCTGTGTAACTAGCTCCCCTGTGCAAAGTGGATTTATGCAGCAAAACAAAATTTAAAGGAATCTATTGCCCATTATGAGATAGGTGATATTCAAAGTCAAGACGGCCACCTCAGAGTTTGGAGTTGCAGGCCGCGCTGTATGTTTTGTTTAAAGTTCGGGCATACATCTTGAAATTATAAATACATGTTATTAATAATTTACAGTTATATGTGTATTAAATTACGCTTATATATTGGTTTTGGGCCATCCAGTACATCAAATTTCGTAAACAAGAAGTCTCAAAATATCATTTTAAATATATTTTTAAGTAAAATTCTTATGCCCTGAAGTTTAAGATTTCTAATGTAACACAAATTGATAAAAATACTGCCGAAATTTATTTTAAATGGCAGTTTTACTAAATTAAACATAAAATATGATATGAGTTAATAAATATCGGCACATACGTTAAGATCTCTAAATCATTTCCCGCCATCTGTTATTAGAATGAATATGAAATGGCATTGGCCTTATGTAAAATGTATTTACGTCCAATGAAATTCTATAAAAACCCATACATATTAGGAAGCTGAAATTGAAGGGTAACGATAAAAAAAAAGATTTTTATTAATCTTGCAAGATTAATAAAAATTTATATTTTATTTAATAAAATTTATATTAATAAAATAGAAAAGGATTTATCTTTTCCCTGTTTAGTTACATTTGAAACATGGGCATTTGCGTTAGCAGGTATCCTAAATGTATCCTACAAGCATTTCTGAAATAGTAGGCTGCGATTGTCACGTTTCCTTAGAGATCAACGCTTTTCAACAGCGGTCATAAACACACGATTTATAGAATTTTTGTTACGGTGCGGCGTATATTAACACGTCACTTCATGTTTTGTTTTATACCTTCATAAATTATTTATAAATTGCAGTGCAGGATGAGAGAAAACAAACTCAAAACAAATCATTCTTACATCCAGCCACAAATTTATTACGCAACTGCTAACGGCCGAATTGGGACAATGGGACAAAAAACGAGACGTTCTACCATTTGTCTGGCATTCATTGCCCAAATTATTGCATTGTTCCGCTGGAAACGGAACGAAGAAATAAAAATCCTTTCTTCCTGGAAACCTCATTATCTTTGGAAAAAAGCAATGCTGGGATTTAATGCATCGAGGAAAAGATGGAAATCTCGGAATCTTGGAGACTTTTGAAGGGGGCTGGGGAGGGAATCGCTCGCTGAATAATGCTGCCTAGATTTCCCTGTCGTCTTAATCCATTCCCCTTCTTCCACGAAGAAATTTCTGCGTGTGTCATGGGTTTTGCTGTAACCCAATTTCGGGGATTGTGAGTGAATGGGGTCGGTGCTAGTATTCTCAAATGGACGACTTAAAAGAAATTTTGGAACAATTTCCTCCTCCCACCGATCAAAAATCTTTCAGATGCTGCTTTCGTTAGTTTAGAGATGTAGCTGAATTGCACATGAAAGATAAATCTGTTGTTCAAGGCTTTTAGTATGAAAACGAGTGGATGACGAAAAAGTTAATTTAATATTTTAGAAAGGAAATGGAAGGAGAGAGATTTGATTTGGATGCAGCAGGAAAATGAAATACTGATTTTCCTCAAAAGTGAATTAATAATTTAATTAAACTAATATCGGAAACAGAAATGAAGAAAATCAATGAACAGTAGTATGAAATCAGCTTGACAAGTAATATACTGAAGCATAATTATGCCGTTACTTGAATAACACTCAGTTTATGATGTAACGTTGTAAGGATCTTAAGTTTTACTAACGTTTATTTTATTTTAAATCTTTACTATCACTTCTTATTTTCTACTTCCGGCCAGAATTATAAGCGTTAAAGTATTTGTGCAAAGTTTGTCTGGCGAACGCCAAGTATTTAAGTTGTGGCTTTTTGCCAAGCGACAGAGAGGAAGCAGTTAGTCGAAGCAGGCCGCTTACCTTAGAAGTTTTACTCAGTTGCTGGTTGCCTTCCAGGCCAGAGGTTTTAATCCTCTTGATAATTTTTAAACGTATTGTAGTGTTCACAGTTCTCTGTACTACATACGGCTTCCTGTTAATATAAGGCCAATCTTCCACGTTTATTATTTTAAAGTTAAATTAGAGTTTAGTTTTATTTTTATATTTTTACGTTAGACCACAAGTAGCGGGTCTGTGTATTCCGAAGTACGGAAGTTATTGTAAATAGAGAAAAATAAAGGGTTTTGTATACCCTTCTTGTGTATCCTGTTTACTTCCCCACAGTGATTGAACATAGCTTTAGTAAGCTCTCTGTTCCGAGTCAGGTCCTTGCATGTTCCCGAAGAAAGAAAGACGGAACATTGAACCTGATAACGTTTTCAGAGTAACAAAATATGTCTGTCAATGATCTGTGTAAATTTTCCAAGTTTTCTCATCCCTACTTCTGTAGATGACTTGGCTTTTAAGGCGATTTTCAGCTTGCAGTTTTATTTAATTGTTACTTCTATATGAACAAAACCATTTAGATTCCAAAAAAGTATTTTTTACGAAAGGTGTATACATTTATAGTAAATTATTTATAGTACTTTTCTAATTACGCGATCTAATCGATATCCTGTGTAACTGAAACGGGAAATTTTAAAGTTACTTTTTTTTAGTTTAAGAAATTTTTAAGAAAGCTTTTAGCAGTTAGATCCTAGTTTGAAGAATGACAAATAGTTGAGCTATTTTATGCACCTATTTTATTTTTTATTTACTATGTATTTAACCTATACGTTTAGAATTAGTGTTGATTTTGTAGATCGGCAAAGTTAGAGAAGGATTCCTGGGTATTGTTTTCCTATTTAGATTGCTAAAGGTATAAGACAGAGCTTATTTAATCAAATTTAAGTATTTAGTACTTTAATTAATTCTATTTAAAACTGTTCTGTAAACGTTAAAGATACATGTAATAACACCTAACAGCTTCGACATTAGAAGAAAAAATAAAAACTCAGTAGTCATAGAGGTTCCCTTTGCTAATAGAATTTCATTCCTTTCCCCCACCCCCAGGAAATAAAAGCTTTATTATAAAAAAATAAAAAATGGTAAAATGTTCGTATAACCATACCCGGAAGTACAACATAAAGGGATCAGAGATGCAAATAACTCAGATTTAATAAAATTCCTTCGACAGTTTTCATCTGATAGAATCTATTGCCTGTTAACAGTAAACGAAAAGCAAAAGATGGGTATTAAAGAAACATAATATCATTGCAAAAAAGAACAAATAAACAAAAAAGAAACCAATGCTTATTTATATGAGAAAAATGAAGGATAAATTATTATTTTAGTAGAAATTTATAATTAATTTAAAATTAAATTAATGAACTTAATAAATAGCTTTCTATTATGATTATAATCTAAAATTAAATTAATGATCTAAGATTAATTACAGGGGATCTGTAATTAAATTAATTACTAGAGGTAACAAAAATAAAAATTTTATTGTTATTAAATGTATATAATCAAATTTATTTCTTTTATGAACAAAGAGAGATTTTATTTCAGTTTATTAATAGAGAAGTCTTTGTTTTGTAGAATTGTAACGGTTTTAAAACACTAATTTATTCTAATGCTAAAAATTTCTATGCATCACATTTGGCAAAATATTCTCTTGTTAAAGATTTGGATCTGATATAAAAGATTTATCAAACAGTAAACAGAAGAGACAGAATTACCAGTGAAAAAGGAAAAGGGATTATTTATTTGCAGATGATGATTACTTACACAGAACATTAACTACAATGATGGTATGCCCAGTCCCTTCTGAATTGGTGGCCTCGCACTCGTATTGTCCTGCATCTTCCCGGCGGGAATCCTTGATCTCCAACAACGGACCCCTGGAACTGACTCGGTGATTGATTTTGTTGCTTGATTCCCCTTTGTGGAGGGAGGAAGGTATAGGGGTCACAAGGCCCTTTCTCCAGGAGTAAGCGATCACAGCAGGATTGGCTCGGGCAGTCAAATTAACGATCAGTGCTTCTCCCTCTACGACGTCGAATTTTTCTAGGCTTGCCACAAGGAACTCAGGTTTGACTATTAAAAAATAAGCACAGGAAAAAATATTTCATTAGTAGACATTGATTTTACAAGTGCTCATAACGTAGGCAATTCTTATATCGCTGGGAAGCTAATGACAGCAATTGAGGCTACAAGCGAAAACCATTTGATGAATTGCTAGTGTTTGTTTGTTCCATATCTAATGTGAAATGCGAGAAATATTAAAGCAAGGGAGGCAGATAAAAAAATCGCTAAAGTTCTGAAAGCATTTTTCATGCATAAACATTTCTCATATGTTTGTTAATAATGACAGATAATATGATTGATTTTGGCACAAATAATAATTTTATAGCTTTTTATATTATTTTTGTTTATTCCTTTTTTAGAATTCTTAATTTTGCAGTCACCACATCGTGCAAAAGCTGAATAGCGTGCAGATGGAAAATTAAAAAGAAAAAAATGTGGATCTTCTGTGCTGAGTTTATTAGGATTCTAATTAATCATTATTGTTAGCAGTTCTAATGTTTGTTATTGGGAATTTCCCTATCATGCAAGTTTATTTGTGAAGGTTGTTTTTTCAGTAATATCACAAACATGATTAATTTCTAATACTGGAACTGAAGTTAATCAATTTTAAGTGCGAAGTTAAAGACGTAATAAGATAAGGGCATATTGGGTCTAAAATTCAAATCAATTTTAAGTACTTTTACCTTAATTACTGAATACTAAAATGGGAAAATATTCATTAATCACGATAAATAACTGTATAATTTTTTTACAGGAAAACTTGAGATTTGATAACAAACACCTGTGGTCTAAAGTAGCAAAAGCAATATTTAATGAGATATGTGTTTTATTTTGTTAAAACTCTATATCAAAGTTAAGTTTGATAACTTCATTCTTATCTCTGTTATAGAATATATATATTTTCTCTGCAAGATTGGAAGCTTGTAGTTTTTATAATGTTTGGGAAATGCAAAAATGTATGCAAGAAGTAGATATACCTTGTAGTAAGACCACATTTTAATTGAAAAACAAAATTCCAGAAAATAATATAAAGATAACTAGATTGTTCCCCATCTGTAAAAACATTTCTGATTTCTAATCAGTTTGAGTACAAGTTTCCTAATTCTACAAAGCATCAAAACGCTGGACTAACAGAGATCACAGCAGACATCTTTAACAAGAAGGTAACTATCATTGTCCTCTTCCATACCATTACGAAAATACTTGACAAGATATGACATAAAAGACTTTGAAGCTAACAAAATTTAACTGTATATCTGAACTGAATTTTAAGATAAAAATAAGATTATTTCCCCTTCTCCATTTTGAAAACAGGAAAGGATTCCTCAGATATTGAGATTAAGGAGGGACGTCGCAAGGCTCATTTCTTACTCAATTATTTCTTTCTGTTTATTTATAATATGCCCGCAGAACATGCAGCGTAGCACACCACGCCGATCAGATGGCACAACTTGCAAAGTTAATTCGTCCGCCACATGTAGGTAAAATTATATGTCTCTTCAGATGTCTTTATTAATTGATTCAAAGACTTAAACATTTAAATTCAACACATAAAGCCTTTGGTCATCATTTCTAGACGCGACCAGACAAGAAATGTACAAATTAATGCACTACCTTTCTACATAATTAAGGAAAGTATTATACAGCGCTTATTGATGAAAACGCACTTTCAAATCTTGTGTACCTTAAACATCAGGTACACAAGTGTCTAAAGACAATTTATCCGAAACTTGGATTAGCTGTATGCTAAGAATTAAGACGGAAAGAGCTCTGTATCTTTTTCGCAATACATTCATAAGGATCTATGATATTTTGCTTTGGGTTACTACACGAAAACTAATAGTTAGTGTCTTCAGAAGCTTTAAACTGACGCTCTCGGAATTTTTTAAAATTCGGCTTGTTTCGTCAGGAATCTTAATAATATTCATGCCATACAAAGTTTGCAATTCGAACTTAATAACGATTTGCACATTTCCACAGTTCGAATTTAATGAAGAGTTAGTTAACCATGACAAAACATTTTGAGCGGTATTAGAATCAAGCAAAGATTATAACAATAAAGGAGGACCATCGGTGGCGGCAACTTATCCGCATTATTTCCCTCAACAGAATGCTCAAAGGATTATAATATGACAAACAAGTAATATCCTTAATGGACGGTACTTTGTTTCACCGACTTGGTCTCTAAGATATAATAGAGTAGTGATAAATTAAGGTTACTCTATCCAGGCGTCTGTGAAGCCCGAAGGTTACATATTTCGTTGAAATTTAAAACATATTTTATATGGAAGAGGGGGAGGAAAGGTAGTTGAAATAAAAGATAACAGTTCAAATTTTGAACACCACGTAAAAAAGTGAAGGATAAAAAAACACAAACTGGAAAAAGAAAATTTTGTTTATTCATAATATTTGTTCAAAATTTGTTCTATTTGCCTCAGTAAAGATTATTATATTGGAAAATAGCTCTAGTGTGCTTTGCTATAATTTACCAGACCAAAACAACCAAAAATAACGAAAGACTGTTATAGCATGTTCAGCAGTAGCGCGACGGATTTCTTGCGTAAACTGCAGCAACGTGGCGTGTTATGTTTGCTTTCAGTTTACAGAATAAACATGCCTCCGCCATAGACACAATATTTCAACAATCCTTACAGCCAGAAGTCACAGGAACTCAAGTCCAGAGAAAGAAGAGGTTAGATATTCCGTAAACAATCTCGAAATTATCCTATTATGTCTGAACTGAGTTCTTTCGCTTGTTGACAATGACATCTAACAATTTTCTCATTCAATTAAAGTAGAAATGACATGCACCTAATAGAACTTCACAGTTACGGGCACTCCTGACAGTACATATTTAAAGAACATTAAGGAGTATTTGGCTAAACAAATGGGCCAAGGAGAAAGTCAGCTGTAATCACAGACCAAACATCATATAGTCACGTATTAAGCACGCAGATGTTCATGCACAGCACTGGAATTTACAGTACACCATTTGCGGCAATGCTGAGAATTCATTGCTCCATCTATGACAAAATGCATCTCGTTTGACAGCAAAATTCTTAGAGGTTAATTGTTAATACCTATAATCGCCCAAAAGTGGCAAGCTAAATTAGTGCATCTGCGAAAGGTCGAAGCTTTTCCATTACGCTTATCGTGTTTGGATACCACTTTATAATAGATCGCAGAAGCTTTTTACTCTAGATCAAGGGATAAACAAACCACGTGACACCATTGGAACATTTAGCAAAGAATATGGAAACAGGGCGCTCTGCCAACACCAGCAACAGTGAGTTCTCCTTCAGTTTCATTTGGAATCTGTTTTCTCCACTTTTTCTGGTACCATACTCAACTGCCCGGTGCCTTTAAATTTAGGAATAATCTTTTTAAAATCATTCTTCGACATATGAAATTTTCGCATGTCATTTAAACGGCGATAATCTCTTTAATATTATAAAGTGTTACTACAGATCTGATAAAACAATTTAACCAGTAAAGCTCGACTTTTGTTCTCTAAAGGTACAGTGGAGGATTTTTATACGGATATTTGGATACTTAGCCCTTTGTACTGGTTTTCCACTATTAAGCTAACGCTTTGCATCAATCTAAGAAAATACCTGGTTGGGCCATGACAATATGAGATTTACTTACTTAAAATATACTTGTGAGAAATGATGCTGGAGTAAATACAAAGTGAATCATTTTATCGTCAGAAACATTTCTAAAACATTTTCGAGAATGAGATTAGCTATTTCACCAAGTTGAACGGTTATAGAGTATTGACACTGGGACGTTAAAGAGCTCCTAATTTGCATAATAATGTCTTTTCTTCATTGCCTTGAAAGTGCCATCTAAGGTAAAAATTTGAACTATTATTTTTATTAAAGTTTTCTTTTCCTCAAGGTCCACATAACGTATATCACAAGTTTAAAAGAAGTACATCAAAAGGAACTGTGTAATTCTGTGAGATGATTCGCGTTGATTATAACCACTCTGTATGTATTGGCTTCTAAAGACGGCTAAATTTTAGACAAGCAGTGCACATATTCCATTTCTTTCAAAATTTGGAAGGAAAATGTTTATTGGTATATACACATTTGAACACCAAATGTATCAGACACATTTATTAATGACGTTTGTAATGAAAATGTGTCAAACCTGATCTAAGTTCAATTACATAAAACAAACACAACAATTAAAATGTAAAACATAAGATAAATATCCTACAAAAATGTATAAGTTTAGCACACAAAGATTTGTTTCTTTGATCAGAGAGAAAGTTTGCCGAAAAAATTCTGAAACTCAGAAACGAAGCCGAGAACATTCGATAAGGTTCTTGAAACTGCAATCAAAGTACAAGGCTTAAATCGAATGTTTTGAAAACTAATGATAGCCAACTTTGGGAAAGTAAAGAAAAAAATTAAAGTGAAAGATACGTCATCAGCTGTTGCATCGTTAACAGATAAGGCAATTGATACCAGCGTTTTAAAAATTTAAAAAAAGATATTGTTCACAGCACCGAGATATCTATCGAAGTTGCTCTTGCTGCTCTTTCAACATTACAGTGAACGTAAACAGAAAGAAAGAAATTGAACAAACGCAAAAAAAGCATGGCACAGAGAACAAACTTTCAGTATTTAAGAAGAAAAACGTACCTCAAAAAGGATAAATGTTTGTAAAGTATACTTTGAAAACAATATTCAACGCATAAATTTTAAGAAAAGTTATTTTGACTATATTTTGTCTAAGACTATCTCTACTTCTCTTAATTATGATTCATAAGAAACTGCTTTTTTGTTGTCAAATCTGTCCCATAAACGATTAAAATGTAAAAGCGAAAAATATCGCTAACTACTTATGAATGAGGGTAATTATATGGCTTTCCTGTTTTTCGTTTCGTGCATAGGGTAGAAAACAGTAATTAAATTTATGTGATAGAATGAAAATTTTTCGAATGGTAAGTACTTCTTCTCGAATGATAAGTACATGAAATTTCTTCTACGAAACTTGAA